CCGGCGCGTCGTCCGTCAGGATGCGGCCCATGCAGCCACAGAGATCGTTGCGCATCTCCGCGTATTCGCTGAGCGGCGCGGGTGCAAAGCCTGTCATAAACACATCACGCAGCCCCGGACATCCAGCGCCCCGGGCCGGGGGTCACCAACGGTTCGCCGCCCTCGTCCGATGGACGTGCGCTCGTCCGACGGCCGCGCGCTCGTCCGACGGCCGAGTCCTCGTCCGAGGGCGCCGATCCGCCGTCCGAGGGTCCGAGGGCGTCGGCCGAGGGGGCGGCGCCCTCGTCCCGAGGGCGCCGAGGGCGCCGAGGGCGCCACTGACCCCCCTCAATGTGAGGCGTCCACCGGCGCGGCCGGCGCGCGCGCGCTTCGCCGAAGCCGAGCTGTGGCAGATGCGAGGTGGAGCTGCCGACAGCGTACTCGACAGCCGCAAACTATGGGCCAGAAGCTCGCGACGCCGCAGACCACCTGCGCCTTCAAATCCGGCGCCTACGGCCTCGGCGTGCACACGACGAAAAACCATGAAAAGCTCGCGACGATCCGCCTCGCGACGAAGGACGACGCCGGCACGATCCTGAAGCTCATCACGGACCTCGCCATCTATGAGAAGGAGCCCGTGTCGACGGTGGAGGTCACGGAGGCCGAGCTCGTCCGCGACGGCTGGGGCCCGAGCCCGCTCTTCCGCGTCGTCCTCGCGGAGGTCGGCGGCGCGGCCGTCGGCTTCGCGCTGTTCTTCCACACCTACAGCACGTGGCAGGGCAAGTGCGTCTACCTCGAGGACTTGTACGTCGCCGAGGCCGCGCGCGGCGCGGGCGTCGGCACGCTGCTCCTGAAAACCGTCGCGGCCATCGCGCACGGCGAGGGCTGCAAGCGGTTCAACTGGCAGGCGCTCGACTGGAACACGCCGGCCCTCGACTTCTACAAGGCGCTCGGCGCCGCGCGCATGGACTCCTGGGTGAATTTGCGCGTGGGCAAGGCCGAGCTCCCGCGGCTCCTCGGTCTGTCGTAAGCTTAGAGGGGCACGGGCGGCACGCGCAGCGCCGCGCACATGACGCTGACGGCGAATATGAGGTGCAAGCTTAGAGGGGCACGGGCGGCACGCGCAGCGCCGCGCACATGACGTTGACGGCGAAGATGAGGAGCGCGACGGTGAAGGCGACGTTCGCGACCATGGTCACGAGGAACATGGCCACCGCGCGCGGCACGCGGAGCTTGTCCTGGACGTACGTGTAGGTCTTGTCGAAGGCCGGCGCGAGGCCCACGGCGACGGCGAAGCGGAAGGGCCGCAGGAGCGAGCCCACCGTCGCGTAGTAGCCCACGTAGTAGGCGAGGAACGCCTTCTTGAGCGGGAACCACGTCATCGGGTTCAGCAGGATCGCGGACTCGCTCAGCGGGTTCACGAGCGGGTTCGCCCGCCGGAACGTCGCCCAGGTGAAGGACAGCAGGAGCACGGAGTTGACGTTGGACACGAAGCCGTAGCTGAAGAAGGCGGAGACGCCGAGCTTCGCGATGTCCTCCTTCTTGAACGACGTCGCCCGCTTCAGCCTCGCTCGCAGGCCCGTCGCGGGCGCGACGTAGGGCGCGAGCCTGATGCCAAAGTCGGTGTAGGACACGACGCCGGAGGTTTCGCAGGCCTCGAGCCACTCCGAATTCGTCGGTTGCGCGCGCAGTTGCGTCGTGATGTGGCGAGGCTGGGGTCGGGCGGCCGGCGCGCCGCGGGCGGTCTGCCAGCGCCTCGCGCTGCCGCCGCTCGACGTCGTCGCGATGCGCGGCAGTCCGACGTTGAGCGCGGACGTCGTGGCGGCGAACCAGGTGGCGGCAAGAGCCGCTCGCGACATGAACTGCGGGCTCACCATCGTCCGATCGGGATCAGGCAAGGTCCAGATGGACGACGGATTCGCGACTTGACGGCCGCTAGCGCCGTCTCTTCGACGCCTCTGCCGCGCCGCGAAGAGCGCACGGCTCCGAGGACTCCACAGCTCGCGCGCTGACACCGCTGAGCGCTGCGAAGCCAGTTACAGCATGCATCGCGCCGCACGCCGCCTCCTTGGGGCAGCTCCCACCATCTCCGCGCCCGCGACGAGGCGCACGCTACCACCGCGCACGCTATCCCCTGCTCTGCGGACGTTCGCCGGTCGGCGGAAACAAAACGCGAAAGGCGTGCGAGAGCGCCGCGCGGCCGCGGCCGCCGCGCCGCCGCCCGCGCCGCCGCCCGCCGCCGCCGCGCCGCCGCCCGCCGCGGTGCCGCCTCCGGCGACCTACGCGCCGCCGCCTCCGGCGACCTACGCGCCGCCGCCGCCGCCGCAGTACGAGCGGCCGCCGACGTTCGGCCAGTCGATGACGCAGTACTTCACCATCGGCGTGGGCATGACGCTCGGCATCGTGGGGTTCTCCGCGGTCCTGCGCATGATCGGGTTCTGAGGGCGTTGGCTGGAGTAAGTTAACCCCCGCGCACCGGCCTTGCGGCGCGGGCCGTGCTGCGGGCGTCGGGCGTCGGTCTGTCTGGGGCGCCGCGCGGCGAGCGGCGCGGCGGGCGGCGAGCGAAGGGCGAGGCCGTCTAGACGGTCTTGCGCTTGTTGTACTGCTGGAGGAAGCCGCAGATCGCGAGGACGGGCCACGCCTTGACGGCGAACTCGTTCGTGAGCTGGGGGAAGACCGAACCCATGATGTCGACGGACGACTCGGGGATCTTGATGTCGAAGATGGCGTACTGGGGGTTGGAGCCCGGCACGGCGGACTCGGCGAGGACGGAGAAGAGGCCGATCATGGCGAGGCGGCCGTTGTTGATCTCCGCGAAGAGGCCCTTCTTCTTCTCCGCCTCCGTCTGCTCGGGCAGGATGCCAAAGGGGTCGTAGAGGTCGAAGAGGCACGAGCCGCCGGCGAAGCCGCCCTTGCCCTTGATGGACGGGAAGAAGCCGGGCTTGCCGCCCTGCGTGTAGTGCACGTAGCCCGCGGGGCTGCCCGCGCCCTCGCCGTACGACTCGAGCATGCCGACGAGGACGAGGATCTGGAGCTTGCCGATGAGGGGGATGTTCGCCCACTGCTCCTGGGGCGTGCAGCCCGCGACGTAGCCCTTGTAGGGCTGGATGAGGTGCTCGCCGGACACGAGCGGCGTCGAGCCCGCGAGGAAGCCGAGGAAGCCGGCCATGGCGACGCGGCCGTGCTTGATCTCCGCGTGCCGCAGGTAGCCGATGGTCGCCTCGTTGCCCAGGCCCCAGAAGTCCATGTCCGCGCAGCCCAGCGGGTCCCAGATGCCCTCGAAGTTGCCGAGCGGCGACGGGTTCTCGGCGCAGAGCGCCGCGAGGTCCGCCTTGCCGGCGGCGAGCGACGTCGCGGCGGACTTGGGCACGGGCGCGACGTAGGCGGACGCGGAGCCCAGGAGGGCGAGGGCGACGATAGAGCGGGCCATGGTGTTTAACCTGCGGATCGGCGCGGGTCGCGGATCGCTTTCGGAGAGCGTCGCGGGAGAGCGTCTTCGCGGCGCGCGCGCGTCCGGGTCGATGCGACGGCACTCGCGCTGCCGCCAGACGACGTGTGCGCGCGTAAACCCCCGCGCGCGCCTTGATCGCGGGACGCCGGCGGCTGCGGTCGAAACTTGAGCCGGACGACAAGGAGGCGGGATTGTGGATCGCCTCGTTCAACCTCGGACTCATGATTCTTCAACTTCGGCTCAGGGCTCTTAAAACAAACCTGAAGGTCGATGGCAGCCCGGCTGCTCGTGGTACGTCGCGCGGCTAGGCTTGGTGCCGCAGTTCCCGCTTCCCGCTTGGCTAGTCCCTCTAGCAGCCCCAAAGCTGCATCTGCGAACATCTAGATGGTGAGAACGCTCCTGCTGTCCGCGGCGTGCGCGCGCGCGCTGGTCCGGCGGAGCCCGGCGCGGCTGCCGCGGCGCCTCCTCGCGGCCAGCGCACCGACGGTGGTCTTCATCCACGGCATGCATTGCCAGGGCTGCCACTTCGACCTGTGGCGCGAGCGCTTCGAGGCGGCGGGCATCGTCGTCGCGGCGCCGACGCTGCGGCACCACGGCGTCGCGCCGCCGCCGGCGGCGCTCGGCGAGGCGACGCTCGACGACTACGCGGACGACGTCGCGGCCGTCGTCGACGCGCTGCCCGCGCCGCCCGTGCTCGTGGGCCACTCCATGGGCGGCATCGTCGCGCTGAAGCTCCTCGCGCGGGGCGTCGGGAGCGGCGCGGCCCTCGTCGCGCCGGCGGCGCCGGCGAACTGGACCGCGCCCGTGACGCCGGAGCAGCTCTTCATCTGGCACGGCGTCGTCCTCGGCTGGCCCTTCCGGCGGCCCGTCGCGCTCCGGCCCTGGCCCGCGCGCGGCGTCCGCGGCCGCGCGTTCCCGGGAAAACGCGCCTCCGTTCGGTGTTGGCGTGCGCGCGAATGGAACCCCCTTAGGTTTGCGGGCTGGGGCTTCTTCAACCGGCTGCCGGCGGACGCGCCGGAGCGGCGCGCCGCGGAACGCGCGCTCGGCGCGGAGAGCGGCCGCGCGGCGCTCGAGATGCTCTGGCGGCCCCTGGCCTTCCTGTTCAACGGCGGCCGGCGGACGACGGCCGTCGTCGACGCGGACCGCGTGGCGCAGCCCGTGTCGATCTACGGCGGCTCCCGCGACCGCGCGACGCCCGCGCGGCACCACCGGCGCATCCGCGACCGCCTCGGCGCGCCCTACACCCTGTACCCGGACATGGGCCACTGGCTCCTCGCGGAGCCGGGCTGGGAGGACGTCGCCGACGACGTCATCGCCTGGGTCCGCGCCGTCGACGAGGGGGAGGTGAGGTGATTTACCCCATTATTCCTATATTGAAGTGCTATTGCAGTGCAAAGTGCCGAGCGGGAGAGATTTGGCTTCGTGCGAGGAGGGCTGCCGCCTGTGTGGCCTGTGCGCCCAGAAGCGTAGGCGCCCCGCCGGCGGCGGAGGCTGCGAGGCAGCAAATTAGAGGCGCGCAGCAGAGCTGAGACGCGCATCTGCTGCGGCGAGATGGCGCAGCGCGCCGTCTTCGAAGCGCTCAGAAAGAATGAAGCATCGACGCACTTTTTCAAGGGCGCATCGGAGCCCTACGACTTCCAGGCCTGCGGCGAGGGCTGGTGGGCGCGGAAGGCGCCCGATGGCGAGGTTTTTTTTTGTAACGAGAACACCGCGATCGACTCGACTTACGAGCTCGCGTCGGGCGTCGAGTTATCTTCCGAGGACCTGGGCACGGTGGAGCGGCGCCTGGACACCTACGCGACGCTCGAGGCCTTCGCCGCCGACGTGCGATCCGTGTTCGCCACGGCGCGGCGGCTCGTGCCCTTCGAGGGGTTTCCGGTCTACGATTCGGCCGTCGCGCTCGAGTCCCTTTTCGAGGAGCTCCTCCGCGACGCGACGAAGCCCGCGGCTCCGCCCGTCGCCGCGCCCGCGGCGCCGGCGCCGGCGCCGCTCGCGACCGCGCCGGAGGTGCCGCCCGCGCCCGCCGTCGACGCGTCCGACGCGCCCGACGCGCCCGCGGCGCCGGCCTTTGAAAGCGACGCGCCCGTGGAGGCCGAGCCCATCGGCGTCGGCAAGCCGCAGTCGTCGGCGCGCGCGCAGGCGACCGCGCGGGAACGCGCCGGGGCGGCCGCGCGCGTCGAGCTGTTCGGCGAGCTCGCCGCGCTCCTGACGGAGCGCAAGATCTCCAAGGCCGCGACGCTCGATATGACGCTCGAGGTCGTCACGGACCAGTTGCCGGACCACGGCGCGGCGTCGCTCGCGCCCGCGCTCGTGCTCGCGCCGCCGCGGACGATCGTAACCGGCGCCGTCGCGGACTCGCTCGCGGACAGCGTGGACGTCGCGGCCATCGCCGGCGAGCCGCGGGCGTCGGCCCACGCCGCGCGGGAACGCGCCCGCGCGGCCGAGCTGTCGAAGAAGGTCGCGGTTCTCGCCGCGGCCCTCGCGACGCTCACGGGCCACGCGCGGCCGGCGGCGAAGGTCGAGATTCTGCGCTGGGCCGTCGCCGTCGTCAAGGCGGTCAAAGCCGGCGGCGACCCCACGGAGATCGCGCCCGCGCAGAAGCCGAAGCCCGCGCCCAAGCCGAAGCCCGCGCCCAAGCCGACGCCCGCGCCGGTCGACGCCCGCGAGGCGATGATCGAGGCGCTTTCGAACGCGAGCCTGTCGCTGAACGAGTCGTCGAGCCCCGTGGCTCGGGAGACTTTGGGCGCCTTGGAGATCCTGTCGATCGCCGACGAGGCGCCGCCGTCCGGCGACGAGCCCGTCTTCGAGGAGCGCGTGCTCTACGCGCGGCCCATCCGGAAGCGCGCCGCGCCGAAGCGGCCCGGCGACTCCTCGAACGACGACGACGACGAGGCCGCGCCCGCGCGCGCGCGACGGCCGAAATCGGCGCGGCCGCCGGCGAAGGCGGAGCGCCACTCCGCGCCGCCGCTCGCGCCGTCGGACACCGCCGCCGCGCTTTCGCCCGAGGCGGGCATGGAGCCGCGGCCCGCCAAACGACATCGGCCCGCCGCGGCGCGCGAGCTCGAGAGCCACAACGCGCCGCCCCGGGTGCCGTCGATCCTGTCGGCCGGCGACCGGGCCGTCGTCGTCGCGACCGGCGAGGTCGTCGCGATCGTGGAGCAGGCGCGGCGGCGGGTGACCTACGTCGGCGCCGACGGCGCCCCGGGGACGACGACGCCGGCCGCGCTGCGCTGGCTGCCGCCCGACGCGCCGTCGCCCGCGGCGCCCGACGCGCCCGCGGCGCCCGACGCGCCCGCGGCGCCCGGCGCGCCCGCGGCGCCCGACGCGCCCGCGGCGCCGGCCTTTGAAAGCGACGCGCCCGTGGAGGCCGAGCCCATCAGCGTCGGCAAGCCGCAGTCGTCGGCGCGCGCGCAGGCGACCGCGCGGGAACGCGCCGGGGCGGCCGCGCGCGTCGAGCTGTTCGGCGAGCTCGCCGCGCTCCTGACGGAGCGCAAGATCTCCAAGGCCGCGACGCTCGATATGGCGCTCGAGGTCGTCACGGACCAGTTGCCGGACCACGGCGCGGCGTCGCTCGCGCCCGCGCTCGTGCTCGCGTCGCCGCGGACGATCGTCGCCGGCGCCGTCGCGGACTCGCTCGCGGAAGGCACGGACGTCGACGCCATCGCCGGCGAGCCGCAGGCTTCGGCCATCGCCAGCGAGCTGCAGGCGTCGGCGCGCGCGGGGGCGACCGCGCGGGAACGCGCCCGCGCGGCCGATCTGTCGAAGAAGTTCGCTGCTCTCGCCGAAGCCTTAGGGAAGCTGACGGGCCACGCGCCGGCGGCGGCGAAGGTCGAGATTCTGCGCTGGGCCGTCGCCGTCGTCAAGGCGGTCAAAGCCGGCGGCGACCCCACGGAGATCGCGCCCGCGCAGAAGCCGAAGCCCGCGCCAAAGCCGACGCCCGCGCCGGTCGACGCCCGCGAGGCGATGATCGAGGCCGCGGCGCTGGCCGCGCCGCCGCCGGCCCCGCCCTCGCCCGTCGCGGCGCCCGCGCCGGCGGCCGAGCCGAGCGTCGACGACATGACGCGCGACCGCTTCAAGGAGATCGTCTGCGAGAAGGTCCGAGCGATGCCCTGGCGGTGTCTCGACGGCGACGCCGCGCCGTCGCTCGCGCCGCCGCCGGCCGCGGCGGCATCAGTCGAGGCGCGCGTCCGCGCGACGTGGGGCGACGTCGAGAGCGGCGACCGAGTGACGCTGACGGAAGCGCTCGAGCAGTGTCCCGGTGTCTCCAGATGGCGCTTGGAGAGGCTACCGCGCCTCCCCGTGCGCAAGCCGACGATTGGGAGCTGGACTGCTCGCGACGTCTGGACGTATTCGAAGGCCGACGTCGAGACTCTTGCGGCTGAGGTCGCTGCGGAAGCTGACGACCCGAATTGGCGTTTGCTTGCCAGCGGCGTTCGTTTGACCCGTGCGATGGCTCTTGACAAGTTTCCTTCTCTCAGTAAAAGCCGCCTCGATGCGCTGCCTCGCGTCCTCGTGCGGCAGCCGACGATTGGGAACGCGACTGCTCGGGACGTCTTGACGTATTTGAAGACCGACGTCGAAAATCTTGTGGCTAAGATCGCGGCGGAAAATGACGACCCGATTTGGCGTTTGGTTGTCAACGGCGAGCGTTTGACGCTAACGATGGCTCTTGCGCAGTGTCCATCCCTCAGTAAAGGCCGCGTCGCAGCATTGCCGCGCCTGCTCGCGCGCCAGCCGACGACTGGGAACTGGGGCGCTCGCGAGGTGTGGACCTACTTGGCGGCCGACGTGAAGCGCCTCGCGGCTGCCCCGAGCGGCAAGTTCGGGGCCCCGCGGCCGCCGCCCGCGCCGTCGCCGCCGGAAGTAGAAGCGCCGGCGCCGGCCGTCGCCGCCGCCGCCGCCGTCGTCGCGCCGCCGCCGGACCCGCCGGCGGCCGTCGCCGCGGTCTCGGCGCCCCCGGAACCGGCCGGCGAGCCCGGCGCGAAGCGCGCGCGCGCCGGCGAGGACGGCGCGGTGTACCTCGTCTCGCCCCAGGGCGCCGTGCTCAAGAGCTTCCCGTCGGCGGCGGCCGCGGCCGAGGACCCCGCCGTCGCCGCGGGCGAGGCCCGCGTCAGGGCCGCGTGCAACATGCCCTACGCGAAGGCCGTGAGCCTCGACAAGAACCGGCTGCGCTGGGCCGCGGCCCTCGAGGAGGAGGCGCGCCTCCGGCGCCGGAGCGACGCGCGGCGGAGCGAGGCGCTGAGCCGGCCGCGCGTGCGCTGCGCCCGCTGCCGCAAGTGGCGCGTCATCCCGAGCGGCGTCGCGGTCGCCGACGCCGACGCCTGGGTCTGCGCCGACAGCGGCGACCGCTGGTTCGAGGGCGAGGGCCGGCCCGCGTCGTGGCCCGCGGCCGTCGCGGGCATCACGTGCAAGACGCGCGAGTGCACGACGCGCCGGCCGTGGTGCGCCTGCCAGCGCTGGGGCTTCGGCTTCAAGTGCTCGGAGTACTTCCGCGACGGCAAGGAGTCGTTCTGCTCCATGGCGTCGCTCGTCGAGACGCTGTATCGCGAGCGCGGCGTCGCGCTGCCCGAGGACTTCACGACGCATCCGGTTCGTTTCCTCCCGTTTCGCTCGATCCCGCGCCGGGGCCGCGTCTTCCACGGCGCGCGCCTCGCGCCCGCGCCCGAGGTGGGCTGCGTCCACTGCGGCTCCGGCGCGCGGCCGGAGACGATCGTCATGTGCGACGGCGAGGGCTGCGCCGTCGAGGCGCACTTCCACTGCGCGGGCCTCGCGGCCGTCCCCGCGGAGTCGTGGTTCTGCTCGCCGGCGTGCCGCGGCCGCCCCCGCGCGGCGCCGCACAAGCACGACTGGATCGTCGCCCACGGCTTTCCCGAGGACGGCACGGAGTACCTGGAGATCATGCTCGCCGCGGACGGCACCGCGGACATCTGCGACCTGCCCCGGGAGACCGAGGAGCTCCTCCTCGACGGCTGGGGCGACGACGCGAAGGCCCGCTTCCGGCGGGCCGTCGCGGCGGGGCCGGCGCTGCCCGCGCCGCCGCCGGACGACGGCGAGGACACGGCCGAGGAGGACGACGAGGAAGCGGAGGCGGACGACGAGGCGGAGGCGGACGCGGAGGCCTTCGTCGGCGGCGCGGGGCTCGCGCGGGGCGACCGGTGCTGGTCCCGCTTCTCCGGCGGCGCCCAGGACTGGTACGCGGGCGTCGTCATGCGGGTCCTGTGGGGCGGCGACGACTGCCGCGTCGTCTGGGACGACGGCGACGTCGAGACGCGGCGCAAGGTCGACCTCTGCGCGAGCATCCCGGCCTCGATCGTGTCGAGGCTCCCGCTCACGGAGCCGACCGAGCGGGCGAAGGCCGTCGCGCGCGCCGAGGAGGCCGACGGTCGGCCGCCGGGCTAAGTTGTGTGTGTGCAGTTGCCACCTGCAATCCGACGCGCGCCTCCCCCGTCCGCGGGGTCGAGCCGCCGCGCGCCGCCGGCGAAGTAAGCATCGGCGGTCTCCAGCTCGGTCTCCGCCGGCGAAGTAAGCATCGGCGGTCTTAGCTCGGTCTCCGCGCGACGACCGGCCCCGTACGCGTCACGACGGTCACCAGTGCTTCCTATTTAAACAGCGACTGGAGGAGCATGTCGACGTCGACGCCCGGCGTGGGCCCGGGGACGGGGAACATGAAGTTCATGAGCTTCTCGTGGGCCTCGAAGCGCAGGCTGCGGCCCTTGGTCGTCCGCTCGGCCTTGCCCCCCTTCTTGGGCGCGCGGGCCGCGCCGCGCGCGGCGCCGAGCTGCGCGGCGGCGTCGTCGTAGACGCCGCGCGCGCCCGCGGCGGCCTGGGGCCGGCGGTCGAGGAAGTCGCGGAGCTGGGCCTTGTAGAGCGCCGCGTCGCAGTAGAGCTCGAGGTCGAGGCCCGCGTCGCCGTCCGCGTCCGCGGCGCCCGCGCGCCGCGGGTGCATCTTCCGCCGCGCGCGCGCGGCGTCGCGGAGCGCGTGCGCCGCCTGGTCGAAGGGCCCGAGGTTCGTCGCCTTGAGGCCGTGCTTCGCCTGCGCGGCGCCGAGGTGCGTCCGCCGGCGCCACGCGTCCGCCGCGGCCGCCCACCGGGGCCGCTTCGCCGCGACGGCGCCGTCGACGGCGGCCCAGAGCGCGTCGACGTCGTCGCCGCCCCGCGGCCGCTTCGCCTCGCCGGACGCCGCGGCGCCGAGGTCCAGGAAGGCGTCCACGAGGCCCGCGCACGCCGCGGCCGCGGCGTCGTCGCCGCGGCCGCCGGGCAGCTTCGCGGCGGCGGCCGCCGCTGACTGCAGGAGCACGCGGAACTCCATGACGTCGCCCTCGAGGGCGTCGTGCCGGCGCGCGACGGCGCAGGACCGCAGCCGCGCCGGCGCCTCCGCGGCCGCGCCCGCCGCGCGCTCCGCGTCGTCGTCGTCGAACTTTTCGAGCAGGTCGTCGAGCTGCGCGTCGCCGACGGCCTCGAAGACGCTCTTCTGGAGCGGGGAGTCCTCCTCCTCCGATTCGTCGTCGTCCTCCTCTTCTTCGTCGTCGTCGTCCTCCTCCTCTTCGTCCTCCTCTTCCTCTTCGTCGTCGTCGTCCTCCTCCTCCTCCACGAGGTCGAGCTCGTCGCTCTCGCCGCTGCCGCGCCGCCGCTTCCCGAAGAGCTCGGCGCGGCTCGACTTGACGTACTTGGCGTCCTCCTCGTCGTCCTCGTCGTCGATGAGCCGCCGCACAGGGATGACGCCGCTGTCGTCGCCGGCGGAGAAGCCCTTGCTCGTCCGCGCGCGCGTGCCGTCGTCGAACGGCGTTTGATCCTCCGGGTCGGGCTCCACCGGCGTCGGCGACAGCAGCTGCGCAACCAGGTCGTTCATCATGGTGCTGGCAAGCGCTTGCGAGCGGCCGAAGCACGCCAATCGCCCGATCTCGGTTCGGTCGTGTGCAAGCCGTGTGCAAGATGACCTCAAGGACCGCATCGCGATCGCGGGTGTTCGCGCGCCAGATCAGGCTCATCTTCCTCGGCGCGGGACATCCTCGACGGGTCGGCCGACGGCGGGGAGCGCGACACAACCCCGCGCAGGCGCCCCCTCGCGCGTCCCAGGTCGCGAAAAAAACAGCCGCCTTCCTAGGACCCCAGGCACGCGAGATCCAGCCCCGCGTGGTCGCAGTGGAAGGGCCACGTGTGGGCCCGGCCGAGCCAGGCCGCGCGGTGGGGCCGCGCGAAGCCGAGCCACCAGCCGCCGTAGAGCCAGGCGACGACGTAGGCGTAGGTGAGGAGGACGAAGGCCCGGTCCGCCCGGGAGCCCTGGGCGAAGGGGTAGTAGTGGCAGGCGTAGGGGTAGGCCGCGTCGGGCGCGAGCGCGTCCGCGGCCGTGTCGTCGTCGAGCGAGACGCGGAGCAGGTCCCGGAACCGCTTCAGCAGCCCGAGCACGACGTGCCACTGGTAGACGGCCCAGGCGAAGGCGAAGCCGAGGACGACGGCGTAGGCCGCGAGCCCCAGGCACCGCGCGGCGTCGCCGCCCGCGTCGCGCGCGCCGCCGCCCCCGAAATCCGGGAGCGCCGCGGCGCGCCAGCCGCCGTCGCCGCTCGCGACGCGCGCGACGTCGAGGTGGAAGCAGTGCAGGATGGTCAGCGGCAGGAGCACGGACGCGGCGAACATGCGCTGGCTCTCGACGTCGCGCGCGCGCGCGGCGGCGCGGTCGTCGCCGGCCGCGGGCCCCGCCGGCGGCGCGAGGGGCAGCGCCGCGGGCCGCCCAACCGGCAAAGCCGCGCGCCAGAGCACGGTCCGGTCGTCGATGACGACGTGGCGGAAGACCTCGACGTCCCAGACGACCTCGAGCGCGAGCCAGACGGCCCAGAGCGGGTAGGCCAGCGCGTCCGCGCGGCTCGCGTCGCGCCGGTCCCGGCTCTCGAAGGTCCGCGCGCCCAGCGACTGGAAGAGCTCGGCCATGTGCATGGCCTGGGACAGGCCGTCGTCGCCGAGGTAGTCCGCGCACGCGCCGCCGCCGCCGCCCCGCGGCGCGGGCGCGAGGAACGCCAACACCCAGCCGTCGTGCGCGCACCAGTTGTGGAGGAAGAAGGAGGCGAAGATGAGCACGACGCCCAAATTGACGCTCCGCGCGCGGCCGTCGCCGACGCGCGCCGCGATGGCGAAAAAGTGCGCGACCGCGACCGCGCCCGCGCCCGCGGCGACGTACGCGAGCGCCGTCCGCTGGTCCAGGAACCCCGCCACCGTCAGATCCCCGGCGAAGGGCCGCGTCGCCGCCGACGCCACCAACGCGCAGCCCAGGGCGACGGCGACGCACTTGCCGCAGTGGAGCCGCACGCACGTCCGCAGCCCTCTTCTGCTCCGCCGGAGCACGCCGTCCGTGTGCTTGAGGCAGTGGTCCTGCCACGCCGCGCTCCAGGCCACGGAGTAGAGCAGGCCGTCCCCAAAGGCCGACAGCTCCAGGGGCACCCAGGCCGTGCGCGTCGCCACGCGGAGCACGCGCTCGAAGTAGAGGAGGAAGACGACGGCGCCGCAGAGCGCCCCGACGCGCGCGGACCGGTCGCCCGACGGCGGCCGCCAGGCCGAGATCTCGAGGCGCAGCCGCGCCGCGCCCGCCGGCGCGGCGACGGACGTGCGCAGGCCGTTCTCCGCCGCGAGCGCCGCGGGCCGCGTCTCCGGCGACCGCGCGATGGAGATCGTCGGCACGGCCGTCGCCGCCGCGGGGAGCCGCGGCCCCCAGCCGCCGTTTCCCGCGCGGCTCGCGAGCCTCCGGCCGTTCCTATAGAAGGCGCAGGACCCGTCCCGCGCCAACGCCAAACCCACCGTGTCGCCCGTCCGGAAGCTCTCGTCCGTCGACGACGACCACATGTCGTCGCGGCGGAACGCGCCGCGGTGCACGAACGCGCCCTCCCTTAAGTCCAGGAGCCAGCAGTGCTCGGACACGGACGGGTGGCTCATGGAGTCGTAGTCGCCCGTCGCGACGCCGACGTGGAGCTCGTAGCCCTCGAGCGCGGCCGCGCGGACCTCGAACCTGTGTGGAAATCAACCACTGGTTTGGGGGGTCCCCACCAAACTTCAGAACTCTCTATCTCGATCAAATCGTAGTCGATTCGGCTGATTTTTGGACGAATCGATTGCTATCGTCGAGTTCTCGAAGCAAGGCCGAAGAGTATGGCGCAAACCGCTCAATTACGCGCACATTGAAGTCGGGTTGAATATTTGGTTTCCACACAGCCTCGAACGCGAGCGGCGGCGCGTCGCCCGACGCGAGCGCGGGCTCCGCGCAGCCGACGGCGACGATGGACCGGAACTCGTCGCACCGGTTGTGCTCGTCGATGCGCAGCGTGCTGTGCGTCGTGCACCGGTCGAACCAGGACCGGTAGTTGAAGGGCTGCTGCGACGCGTCGTGGTACGCCGTGATGCCGTCGATGAAGACGCCGCCGCGCGACAGGCGCTGCCGCGCGCTCTGGCCCACGCCGCAGATCCAGCCCCGCCGCTGGACGACGGCCCGGCAGAAGGCCTCGGACACGCTGCAGGCCGACCGCTGCGTGCAGCCGTAGAAGAAGAGGCTCCGCCCGTCGAGGAAGTCGAGCACGGACGCGAACTCGAGGGCGTCGAGGAACGTGCGCCGGTCCCGCCGCGACCGCTTCTGGGCGACCGTGAGACGGGGCGACCACGGGCTGATGTGTAGTTGCATCGCGGTGCGCGCGCCCGGGCGCGGCGGTCCGCGTGTTGCTCGGGCTCGTGGAGTTGCGGCTCTCTCGTCGAGCTTCTCCCGAGGTGCAAGGTCGTGGAGTTGCAGCGTTTGTAAAAGCGCGGCGCCCCGCGGGATGGCCGAGAGCTACAGCCCCTTTGATGGGCTCGAGATCATAGCCCCTTCAGAAGCCGAGGCGCTCGCGGGCGGCGTGCGCACGATGCTCGCGCGCCTGAGCAGCAGCGGCGTTGTGGAGAAGTACGCTTCGGCAGCGCGGACCAACATGTACCAGTTCCGCCCGAGCTTCGACCAGAGCGTGATGGACTGGCTCAACAAGGAGCAGGCGGGCGCTGACCCGTCCACGCGTCTTGCCCGCTCACAGACGCCGCCGCCCGAGCTCGACGCGCTGCGCGTCGCGCTCGAGGCCGAGGTCCCCGAGCTCGCCGAGTTCTTCGTTTGCACGTGGGTGCAGGTCCGTTCCCTCGCGCGCGCCGCGCCGCCCGTCCGCAAGCGCGTACCCTAGGTGAACGTGACGGACGGCGCCGACACGCTCGCCGCGCACGTGGACAAGCCCGCGTGGGGCGACGTCGTGGTCGTGTTCACGCTGGACGACATCGGCGTCGAGCTCGCGGCGCGCTGCTCCGGTCTAAAATTAAGCGCCCGCGTGAACGCGCTCGAGGCCTACATGCTCGCCGGGCCCGCGCGCTACGCCGCGAGCCATCGCATCTCGATGAGCGGACCCCGCGTCGGGGTCGTCTTCCGCTACCACCTCAAGGACGTCGTCGCGCTCGGGACGCGGGCCTCGGCCGACGGCGACGTCCCCGTGGGCACGATCGTGTCCGCGCGGTGGCCCTCGCAGACGAACTCAAAATTGCCGCACTCCAAGTACCGGTCCGCGTACCCGGCGGTCGTGCGCGCCCGCCGCGACGACGTCTACAACCTGACCTTCTTTGCGAACCCGCCGGACGTCGCGCACGACGCCGAGGTGCACGAGAGCCTCGTCCTCGCCAACGGCGCGCGTCGCTCGCAGTGTCACGACGCACGCGCGCGCGCGGACCCGCGCCCTCTCAGGTTGGCACGCTGGCATACTCCCCGGCCGATTCTTCATTCCGCCGAGCGCCGAGACTTCCGAGGGCGGCGGTGACGCCGCCAACGTCGACGGCGGCGTCGTCGGCGACGACCACGGCGACGGCGGCGGCGAGGCGCCCGTCGTCGACGAGGCGCCCATCGACGCGCCCGTCGGCGGCGACGCGCCCGTCGTCGGCGGCGGCGCGCCATTCGACTTCTTCGCGCAGCCAGTCCGCGCCGTAGTGGAAGTCGACTTCGACTGCATGGTCGCCTTTTGGAAGTACAAAAACCTCAAGAAGGCGCCGCCGGATGCCATCTTTCGCGACAAGGAGATAAAGCGCACCGCAGCGTCCGACTAGATGAGAGTCGACATCGGATTCGTGTGCACGCGCAGGCACTTTTTCAGCCCGCTTCCCCATTACGAGCACCTTAAACAGTTCGCCAAAGAAAATTCCGAGGACATCAAGGCCGGCGTGGCCAAGCCGCCGACCGCTATTTACTCAGAGGCGATCGCGCGGATGTCGGCGGCGCCCCGCGCGAAGCGCAACAAGACTGACCGCAAGGGCCAAACCATTCGGTTCGCGCCCCGAGTCCGCACTCGTTCCGTCCAAAGGTACGCCCGTTCGCAGGTACTGGTGTCCCGTGACGAAGATTTGGTTCCCCGCGACGGTCGTCGATCGGGCCGCGCCTTTGGACTCGCACACGGTGTGGGTTGTGAAGGACGAGGAGGGCTACGAGATGAGTGTTGTTTTTGACTGGCCGGTGACGGGCCAGATGCAACGAAGACAAGAGCCAAGAAACCTGGAGTACGTAATGCTTGATTCTCGCGACTACGAGGGCTTCGGCGACTACGAGGGCTTTGTAGAAGCCTGGAAAGCACCCTTCGCGAAAGCGGAGAAGCGACGCGATGCGAGTCAAAACAATGGCGCCGATGAGCGAGCGAAGAAGCGCCGCGCCAAACCCAAAGCTCAGGTGCAGCCCGCGAGGAAGCGGCCCCGGCCGCCCGCGCCGCAGCTGCCCGCGCCGGTGCCCGCGCCCACGCCGCCTGTGCCCGCGCCACCGGCGCCGCCGTCACAGCCGCCGGTCGCGCGTGCGCCGAGCGTGGTGTCCGCTGATGACACCGAGCCCGTTGCGCCAGCTGGGACCACCAGCGAAAGCGCAATTGCCATCGACGACGAAGAAATTGAGGACCGGCCGGCGCGTGGCGACGCTTCACCCGTCGTCATCGAGCGCGACGTCGCGGCCGTGCTCCGGGGGGTGCTCTCGCCCGCCTGGAAGAGCCTCGCCGAGCGCGCGACGGAGCCTTACGCCGAGCTGCCCCTCCTCGGCTTCGACTCGGAGGGCGTCAAGCGCCTCCGCGACAGCCTCGACGGCGCGGCCATCGGCCTCTCGTCGGGCCCGAGCGGACTGACGAGCGAGGTTGCGATTCCCGCCTTCGCCGAGCTGCGCCGCGACTTCCTCAAGCTCAAAGGCGACGTTTGGCACGTCGTCACCTCGGCATCGTCCCACTTGATCGACATCGCGCCCGTCGGCGACGACGACCCGCGCGTCGGCCTGCGAGGCCAGTCCAAGGCCGTGGCCAAACGCCCCCTCGACACTCACCAGGTCCTCGGCGTCTACTACGGGCGGACCATGCTCGAGCGCGAGTACGAGGACATGCACTCGAGTTCCCCGGCCACGCTCCACTCGCACGAGCGCTACGCGTTCTCCTTCGAGTGCAAGGGAGTCGACTGCGTCATCGACGCGCTCGACCGCGGCAATTTCCATTTGATGGCCATCAATGACGCGCGTCGAGCGCCGCACGCGTCGCGCGCGCGCGGCCTCAGCGCCAGCGAGAGGTCGGCCGTGAACGTGACGTTCCGCGCCGCGCTCCTCGACGGCTTCCCCATCACCTCCATTACGGCCCTGAAGCCGATCAAGCAGGGCGACGAGCTCCTTATCGACTACGGCAAGGACTTCTGGCTGAAGAATTTCGGCCTCGACCGTTACATCGCCCAGTTCCAACACCCGGCCCTCGTCAGCCTGCACGCACAGCTCAGCCGGCACCTCGCGCAGGACCTCGGATAGGGCGCTGATAATAGCAACCAGGCCTCAGTTACGCCGCCCCGCCGACCCCGGGGCGCAAGACGAGCCGGAGCGGCGCGCCGGCCGCGCCCGCGAGCGCGCGGAGCGCCGCGGCCGCGCCGCGCGCCGCGAGCTTCGAGACGAGGAGGACGGGCTCCGACGCCTTGCGCGAGAGGTAGCGGGGCGCGTCGACGAGGCGGAGGCTGCCCGCCTGGACCCGGTAGCCCGCGAAGCCGACGACCCAGGGCCAGAGGTCCTTGTGCGTCTTCCGGAGGAACGCGCGCGTCTGCCGCTCCGCGAGCTTCGTCGCGCGCCGATACAACGCGCCCGCGTCGACGACGGCGGCCTGGGCGGCCGCGCCGAGGCGCCAGGCGCGCCGGAGCCGCGGGTGGTCGCGGAAGAGCTTGTAGAGGAAGAGCTCCTCGCCGAAGACGAGCTTCTCGCCCGCGAGCAGCGCGCGCGACGCGACGCGCACGACGCCCGAGATGAGCGCGCCGAGGCCCCGCAGGAGCCACAGCGCGAGCCGCACGGGCAGCTCGAGCCGCGCGACGCCCCAGGTCACCGCGCGGAGCTGGAGCCGGTCCACGAGGTAGCCGTTGAGGTAGAGCGCCTCGTCGACGGCGTGGGCGACCTGCAAAAGGGGGGAGGAACATCGGTTGGAGGTTTCGGGACGGGACGCCGGGCCGACCTCGAAGGCGCCGACGGCCGCGGGCGCGTAGAGCGCGACGGCCTCGGGCGACGGCGGCACGAACGAGTGGACGCGTTTCATCGACGCGACGCGCAGCCCCGCGTGGGTCGTCGCGACGGCGATGGCGACGCGCGCGAGCTGGACGTGGAGCTTCTGGGCCCGCGTGCGCCGCGCGGCGTGCTGGGCCTCGGACGCCGCGTGCAAGATCTGCCGCGCGACCGCGGCGCGCGCGGCGTCCGCGGCCTCGGCGACGGCGCGCCGCTCGTGGTCCACGAGGTGCTCCGGCAGCAGGTCCGGGAGCCGGTGGCGCGGCGCCATGATCTCGCGCATCGCCGCGACGACGCGATAGCGCTCGTGGACCTCCGCGGCCGCGTAGTCGAAGACCGAGGTCGCGGTGCGCGCGACGAGGACGCCGAGCGCGAGGCCGTTGGGCAGGCGCGCGCCGACGCCGCGGCGCGCGGCGACGAGGGACGCCAGCCCGACGCAGCAGGACGCGGCGAATTTGGCGACGCGCGCGCGCCGCGTCCGCGGCCGATCGAAGAGATCCGCGCCGCCGAAAAGGCCCGCGAGGCGCAGGTAGAAGTGGAGCGCGAAGAAGAGCTGGTAGGCGCGCGCGCCCCGGGGCTCCGCCGCGAGGTCGAAGTGCTTCAGGGGCTGCACGAGGAGGAAGGCGCCCGCGGCCGCGCGCCCGCCGCAGAGGGCCGTCCCGACGTCGTCGCGCCGCGCCTCGAGCTCCAGGGTCTTCGCCGCGCGGTGCTTGAGCACGTCGATGACGCCGCCGCCGCGCAGGCGCAGGGAACGTTCCGCGCGGAGGCGGGCCGAGGCGAGGCACGCCAGGGCGAGGAGGCGCCCCGCCGGGGGCAGCCCCATGTCCACGAGCTGGAATGATGTTGAAGGCCTTCAAGGTCCCGGACGCACGATGGCCGCGGGCAGCGAGGCCTCGACTGGGACGACTGGCGTCACTACTGCCTGACCTACGACGGGACCGACCTCGTGCTCTACTTCGACTGGCGTCGCTACTGCCTGACCTACGACGGGACCGACCTCGTGCTCTCCTTCGACGGCACCATGGTGGACGCCGCCGCCGCCGTCGTGCTCCTCGCGAGCCTCTTCTGCTGCGGCACGTGGCCGGCCATGCTGACCTACGCGGCCAAGGACGGCCGCCACGCCGCCCACTCCTACCTCGACTACACCGCGGGCTACGTGTGCGTCGCCGCGGTCACGGCCGTCGCGAGCCCCCTCGGCGGCGGCGACGTCGCCCTCGCCGTCGTCGCCATGGTCGGCGGCGCCATGCTCTGCGTCGGCAACCTCTGCCTGCAGATCGCCGTGGACCTCGGCGTCCCGCTCACCGCGGCGCTGCCCCTCCAGGCGTCGCTCACCGTCGTGCTGGGCACGTCGCTCAACTTCGCGCTCCAGCCCGAGCGCAGCGACGCGGCCTGGCTCTTCGCCGGCGTCGCGCTCTTCGCTGCGGCCATCGCGCTGACCGCGCGCGCGCAGCTCGACTACGACCGCGGCCGCGGCGCCGCGCGGGCGACGCACCAGGAGTCGCCGCTCGTCGCGGACCGCGCGCCGCCGCCGCCGCGGGCGCGCGAGGCGGCGGCCGCCGCCGCCGCGCCGGCGACGCGGCCGCGGCGCGGGCTCGCCGTCGCCGCGCTCGGCGGGTGCGCGTTCGGCGCGTTCTCACCGTGCTTCAACGTCGCCGTCAACGACGAGCTCGGCTGGAGCGCGGCGGGGCCCCTGCGGCTCTGGACGGCGAATCTGCTCTTCGCCGCGGGCTTCGCGCTCGGATCCCTCGCGACGAACCATCGCCGGCTCCCCCGCGCGCTCCGGGGCTACGCCGCCGAGGCCCCGAAGAGCCGCCTCCTGCCCGCGGCCGCGGGCGCCGTCTGCGCCGCGGGCAACGAGCTCCAGTTCTACGGCGCGACGCTCGCGGGCTTCGCCGCGTCGGACCTCGTCCAGGCCTTCCCCGTCGTCGGCATGGCGTGGGGCCGGCTCCTCTTCCGGGACTTCGAGGGCTGCGCCCCGGGCGTCGCGCGGACGCTCGTCGCCGTCTACGCCGCCTACCTCGCCGCGGTCCTGTGCCTCTTCCTGTCCGTGGAGACGACGTAAGTTGACCAAGTTATTGAAGGGCGCGCCCGACTGCGTAAGTTGAAGTCAAAGTGAAGCTCAGCTCCGAAGACCAGGTATGAGAGCGTGAAACTCAGTGAATCGGCTGCGCCTTCGCACGAGCTGCCGACGCCGTCCCTGCCTGCCGCCCGAGCCGTCGCGGCGCAATGGCGGCCTGCGCCAGGTGCTGCGCGGTCCTCGCCCTCGCGGCGCTGCTGCAGCTCGGCCTCCTCGTGCGCATGACGGTGCGCTGGCCCGGCCGGCGCGACGGCTTCCAGGAGGGCGCCGTGCCCGTCTGGCGCAACGGCCGCGTGCCGCTCGCGAACCGGCTGCTCGACTACCTGCTGCCCATCAGCTTCGACCTCGCGGAGATCGCGCTGTGCCCCGTCGACGGCTCCGACGTCGCGTGCGTCGACGCGGGCCGCGCCAAGGAGGCGGCGTCGCGCGCGGGCTTCAACGCGACGCCGGGCTACGACTTCGAGACGTGGACCTTTTCCGCGGGCGCGCGGGAAGCGTCGGCCGTGGTCCTGCGGCCGCGGCGCGCCCACTTCTTCCCCGAGGCCTCGGGCGCGGACGCGACCGGCGGACCGCGCGTCGTCGTGTGGTTCCACGGCGGCGGCCTCAACATCGGCGGCGCCGAGGACACGTACGCGGTGCCCCTCGTCGACGCCCTCGCGCGGCGCCTCGGCCCGGCGCGCACGCTGATCGTCGCGTCCGTCGAGTACGCGCTCGCGCCCGAGCGGCCGTTTCCGGCGGCCGCCGACGACGCCTTGGCGGCGCTCGAGGGCGTACTCGCGCGCTTCCCCGACGCGGCCCACGTCTCCGTCGCCGGCGCGTCCGCGGGGGCCTACCTCGCGCTCGTCGCGGCCTACCGCGGCAGGGCCGCGGGGCTCCGCGTCGACAGCGTCTTCCTCGACTCGCCGTTCCTCAAGGACGGCCACTGCGGCGGCGCACCGCCGCCGCGGGGCGAGGGCTCCTTCGCCGCCAACGGCTGGATGCGCCTGCCGTCGACGGCCTGGCTCGACTGGTCCTGGCGCGCGTACCTGGCCGGCCGCGACATGGCCGACTACGCCATGGGCGCGTGCGACGCGGAGAACTGGCGGAGCGTCGGCGGCCCGCCGCCGGCCGTCATCCTCACGGGCTCGGGCGACCCGCTCCGCGACGCCGCCCACGAGCTCGCGGCGACCTACGAGGCCGCGGGCGGCGCCGCGACGCTCGTCGAGGCCCGCGCGGCCCACTGCGTCGCCTTCCTCTTCGACGGCGCCGCGGTCGCGCGCGCGCACGACCTCTACGCGGACCTGCTCCTGGGGGAGTGCGCGCCGGGGTAAGCACACCACACATCTTACACAGCGTCAGCTCGGCAGCTTGATCGTCGTCCGGCCGGCCTTCTTCTTCGCCTTGCGCCGCGCCGCGGCGCGCTCCGCGGCCGCGGCGACGGTGTCGTTGAACTCGTCGATGGCCCGGTTCTCCTCGGCTTTCGCCTCGACGTCCCGCTGCTTCTGGAGGATCTCCTCCTTGGCCCGCCGCTTCGCGGCCTTGTCGGCCTTGCGCTTCTGCGTCGCGGCCTGGCGGATCTTGTTCAGCTCCGCGCGCGAGCCGTCGTCGCCGTCGAACTCGAAGACATAGGTGTCGCGGTTGCGCACGGAGCCCTCGAGGACGACGCGCGCGCCCTCGGCGGCGACGTGCTTCGCGGCGGCCGCGGCCTCCTGCGACGCGCGCGCGAGCGAGTGCTGCGCCTCGACTAGGCGCTTCTTGAAGTCGACCTTCTTCTTCGGCGCCGGCGAACCCGCGTCCTGCTTCTTCGTCGTCGTCGTCGTCTTGCGCGCCGCCGCGGCCTCGTCGTGGGGGCAGCCCTTCTCGTGGCGCGCGACGGCGTCGAAGTCGCCGCGGAAGCCGCAGCCGCGCTCGCACTCGAACGCGCCGTCCGCGTCCGGCGGCGCCTCGGGCTCGTCGTCGCGCTTGACGTAGAGGTCCGGGAGCGTCGTCGGCATGCCCGCGTCCGCCGTCTTCAGAAAGTCCGCCGCGAAGGTCTTCTTCTTTCTCTTCGTTTTTCGCCGGAGCGCGTCGCCGGGCTTCGTCATGCCCGAGACGTACTTCTTCGCCTTCGAGGGCTTCAGCGACTCGCGGAGGCGCTTCCCCGCGCGCCCGAGGCGCCCCGTGTGGCTCGCGGCGATGGCCGCCGCGTCGCGCCGGCGCGCCTCGATGAGCTGGAGCGTCGACCGGACTTGCCCCGTCTCCACGAACTCGAGCCGCTTCCCGACCTGGGCAGCAAAAGGGTGATTCAACGTCGCTTCAACGTGAGTGTTCCAAGCGCGCGCGTTCTGAAAACAAGCATCCACGCTTCGAGACCGTTCCGAGGGATGATCGCTCGTCCAAAAATCAGCCGAAACGAGTGGAAAACGGCCGAGATATGAGCCTTTGAAGTTGGGAATTTCGCTCTCTTTTGCTGCCCTGTTCCCGACGCCGAGCGCGCCGCCGCACTCGCGGACGGGGTCCCGGTACGTGCGCACGAACTCCGCGATGCCCCGCTGGCCCGACCGCACGGCCAGGTCCGCGGGCGACTGGCCCGCCTCGTCGGGCGCGCGCGCGGGCACGGCCGCGTCGAGGAGGAGCTCGACGACGTTCCGGGGACCGAGCGGCGCCGCGTGGTGCAGCGCGTTGCGCTTCTTCGCATCGACGCCGTCGACGGCGCAGGCGTGGGCCAGGAGCACGGTGATGGCGTGGAAGGCGAGGCGCCGGTCCGCCACGCCCGCGGCCAGGATCAGGGGCGTCGCGTAGAGGCCGTCCTCGGTGACCTCGTCGACGTCCGCGCCGAGGTCGTCGAGCAGGAATGTTAACACGCCGAAGTCGCCGGCTTTCGCCGCGTGGTGGATGGGCGCGTAGCCCCGGCCGTCGGTTTGGTCCATGGACGCGCCGCCGGCGCGCAGCGCCGCGAGCGTCGCCGCGTGGTTCGCGGACGACGAGTCGCCGCCCGCGCGCGGCTCGACGGGCGCGTCGCCGCCGCCCCGCGGCGCATTGCCGCCCTCGCGCGCGGCCTTGAGCCGCGCCCGCTTCTCGTAGGCGCGCTCCGTGAGCAACAACTTCGCGGACGTGACGACGAGCGGCTCGCCCGCGTCCTGCGCGGCCCGGAGCTCGCCGAGGGACGCGGCCAGCCAGGCCGGCGGCTTCTTCGCGCCGAAGGCCGGCAGCGCGTTCTTGACCAGCGCCGCGATGGTCTTCGCCGCGACGGCCAGGTTCTCCGGCGGCTCCGGGGGGAAGAGCGAGAGCACCGCGAGCTGGCGCCGCAGCGCGGCCGCGTCGCCCCGGAGCACGGCCCCGCAGACGCGGCGCTCGCAGTTCGCCTTGGGCTTTTTCAGCAGCGCGTAGAGCCCGCCGGGGTTGTTGAGCGTGTCGACGGCCTGGCGGAGCTCGTACTTGACCTCGAGGAGGCCCAGGTTCTCCGCGATCTGGTCGCGCGCGAGCTCCTCGAGCGCCGAGATCCGGTCCTCCGCCCGCGTCGCCTCGCGCTTCGCCTGCTTGTGGTGCTTCTTCATCGCCGCCTCGTAATTTGCCTCGTCGCCGTCGCCGCCGTCGCCGCCGCCGCCGTCGTCGCCGCCGTCGTCGCCGTCGTCGTCGCCGTCGTCGTCGTCGTCGCTCTCCTCGGGCTCGGGCGCGGGCGCGGGCGCGTTCGCCTCCTCGTCGAGGAACTTCTCGATCTTGTCGCGGACGACCTCCTTGCGCAGGGCCGTCGTGAAGGCGTTGACGGGCGTCTCCTTGTCGCGCGCGCCGACCTCGCGGTGCCGCGTCGCCTCCCAGCGGTCGCCCGTGACGACGTCGGCGCGGCGGCCCGCGCGGCCGTCCGCGAAGTCGATGCGCTGCCGGTCGAGGTAGTCGCGCACGGAGTGGGGCTTGACGCGGCCGCTCTCCTCGGCGCGCTGGTGGGCCCGCTCGACCTCGCGCGGGTCGAGGACGTGCGTCTCCAGACCGATGGGGATCTTCGGCGCCGCCTTCGCCGCCGCGACTTTGGCCGGGTCGACGCTCCAGTCGCCGCCCTTGCTCTGGACGCGGCCGCCCACGCGCGCCGCCAGGGGCACGCCGGGCCGGAACGGCGGCGTCGACGGCGACGCGCGCCGCGCGGACGGCGAACCGCCGCCCGAGCCGCCGCGGCTCGACCGGTCGCGCGTGGGCGCGCGGAGGCCCTCCGGGAAGCGCACGGACTTGCCCGGCGTCTTCGGCGTGTCCAGGCCCTTGGGCGTCTCGATGCGCACGCCGCCCGTGACGCCGAAGAAGCGCGTCGCCGCGGGCGTCCGCGGCTTCTGCGGCGACTCGTTGAGCTTCCGGCGGTCGCGCCGCGCGGGCGACCACGTCACGACCTTGCGCTCGTCGCTCGCGTGGGTCCGCGACGCCGACCCCTGGCGCGACCCCTGGCGGCTCCGCTGGCGGCTCGACACGCGCACCTTGCCGAGCTGGTCGCGGACGGACTGGACGCGGCGGCGGTCGAGGTCCCGGTCGCGGACCCGGCGCGCGATGGCGCCGAACTCGGCGCCGGAGCCGAGCTTCTTCGTCGTGTAGGTCGTCGGGTCCGGGAAGTTGCGGCTCATGCCCGCGTTGGCCCGCATCTCCATGCCCGGCGTGACGGCGTCGCGGTCCCGGGCCAGCATCCGGATGTACTCGTCGAGCTCCTCCTGCTCGCCGGCCTTGAAGCCCGTCGTCCAGTCCGGGTTCTCCACGTCGTACATGTTCTTCTTCTTCGACATGGTCGTCCGCGTCGTCAGCGCATGGGCCTACGTCGCCTCCGAGGGCAGCCCTTAAACGCCATCGTCCGGCCCGAAGGGGACGGGCCAGTCTTGCCGCATTGTTGAACAATTATGCAGAGTATGGACGCCGACGCGGGGCTTCCCGAAGAGGCGGAGTGCCGCAACGCTGCGTGCAGCATGGACGCCGACGCGGGGCTTCCCAAAGAAGCGGAGTGCCGCAACGCCGCCTTCCCACCGTTGGTCGCCTCGAGCTTCTTTTCGCGGGACTACCTGCTCGGTCCCAAGATGCGCCGAGGCTGCGTGGGCATGCGAGAAATCGGGACTCAGCACGGCCCGCTCGACGTCTTCCTCTGCGCGAGCCTCGGCGTTCCGGGCGTCTTCTTCTGCGTCTACAGCTGCGGCGATCCGCTCGTCCCGCGCGTCCTGCTCGCCGTCGAGTTCGTCGTCGTCGGCGGCTGCTCCGTCGTCGCCGACGGTTTGATGACGCGCATGAGCGCGGACGACAGCAACCGCGACGGGCTCCTGCCCGTCGATCGCGTCACCAGCGCGTTCCACGCAGCGTCCTGCGGTCGTGACGATTTTCGAGAGTTTTTGACCGGGAAAACGAAAAAAGTCGTTACCGACGCACTTGGTAGGCTTCACGTGCTGCTCCTCGGCGCACTCCTGTGCTACTTCGCCGCCGTCGGCAGGCTCTCGCCGCTGGAGACGGCCCTCGTGCTCCTCGCGGGAGCGGTCGCGCTCGTCTTCTTCCATCGGAGGTTGTATTTTACTTTCGTCGAGCAGAGATGGCGCCCGGCCCGGGCCTGCGCGCGCGCCTGGCACGTCGGCGGCTGCGCGGCGCCGCTCCTCTGCTTCTTGTTCGCCGCGCGGCGTTGCTAACATGTCCCGCCGGTACTAGTAGGAATCCCGACCCCAAATCCCCGCGCTCGCGCGCGTCCCGTCGGGAAGCCCAGAAGCGAGACATAATTAACAGGGCTCTGTACATCGACGAACCCCCGGTCATAGCGTGGCGGTGTTCCTCGGTTCGCGCCCCGACGCGCCGACGCAGTGCCTGCGCGGGAACGGCTCGGCGCGCGCGCGCCGAGCGCGCGCGCCGGGGCGGGACGCACCAGACGTCTTCCGGCACGCGGGTCCTGCTCTGCTGGATGTCTTCGTCGTACACCCCTTCTTCGGCGCGCGGGAACACCTCCGGCTTCTTCGATGCCTGCGCGGCGCGCGAGTCCGACGACGGGCTGCGGGGCGAACGCACGCACCGCCACCTCGGGCATCTCCGTCCCAGCCCCCGTGTCGGTGCCCGTGCTCTGAGGCGGCGAGAAACACGTGTTCGCACCGCAGAGGGGATCCATGGCCGCGGATCTCGACGCACCCGCTCGCGTGCGACGCTGTCACGGGGCTGCCCAGGCTTTCTCCAGGATTCGTCGGTCGTCGACGGCATGATAGCTGGCATCCAAAACCTTGCCTTTCAATAAACCGACCAGCGCGGCTTGTGACAATGGGGAAGGTGTTGTGGCCTTGATTGTTCGGCACATGGTCGACTCGCGCCGCTCGTGACGCTTTGATCATGCCGGAGGGCTCGCGGTCGGCGCCGGCGCGGCACGGCGAGGCTGCCTTCCGGCGCGCGGACGTGAACAACGATGGTGCACTCTCCCGGGAGGAATTCCTCGCCTACTTTGGGCAGCCCGCCGCCGCCGCGACGCTGGACCCGCTGCCGGCTCGCGTGCGGCAGTACGAGTCCCAGGGCCGCGACCGCCCGCGGTCCCGCGCGCCGCGGACGCCGGAGCATCGGCCCGCCCGGGCGCGGTCGCGGACGTCGCCCGAGGCCTCGGCGCCGCGGCGCGCGCCGGAGCTGCGGCCGGACTGGCCCCCGGCCGGGTCGCGGCCGCGGTCGCGCACGTCGCCCGAGGTTGGCGGGTCGCGGCCGCGGTCGCGCACGTCACCCGAGGTTTACGAGTCGCGGCCGCGGTCGCGCACGTCGCCCGAGGTTTACGGGTCGCGGCCGTGGTCGCGCGCGTCGCCCGACGTCGGGCCCTCCTACCGGGCCACGCCGGACCTGCCGCCGGACTGGCCTTCGGCCGCGTCGCGGCCGGAGCCGCGCGGCACGCCGGACTGGCCCTCGGCCGCGTCGCGGCCGGAGCCGCGCGGCACGCCGGACCTCCCGGCGCCCCTCGCTGCGCCCGTCGCGGCGCCCTCCGTCGGTCTCCGGCGGACGCCCGACGCGGCGGCCGGGGCGCCGCCGGCCGCGTCGCTGCGGCGGACGCCCGACGCGAGCCTCACGTCGCTGGGTCTCGTCGAGGACTCGCTCCGCCGGTCCGGCCGCGACGGCTCCTACGAGGAGGAGGTCAAGGACGCGACGGCCTGGCGCCCGCCGCGGCTCCCGCCGCTGGACCTCGGGCCGAGCGCGGGCGCGGCCCGCTCGTCGGCGGCCGGGGCCCCGCTCGACGGCGACGGCGGGGCCGGGCCGGACGCGCCGCCCCCCGCGAAGACGCCGCCGCGGCCCGCGGCGCCGCTGCCGCGGTCGACGCCGCCGCCGCCGCGGCGCGACCGCGCGTCGCCCTACAAGTCGCCCTACGGCGACGCGCGCGTGAACCCCGCCGACGAGGCGCCGGGCGGCCGCGCAGCGTCGCCGCCGCCGCGCGCGAAGCCGGAGCCGGCGGCGCCGCCGCGGCTCGCGGCCCGGAGGCGCACGCTCGGCCGCGCGGTCGTCGTCTCCGTCGTCGCGGGCCTGCTCGTCTGGTTCCTCGTGCTCGCCGGCGGCGACCGCGACCCGTCGTCGCGGTCCGCGGCGGCGTCGGCCGCGCCGACGGCCGCGCCCGCGCGGTCGCCCGCGCCGACGGCGGCGTCCGTCGCCGCCGTCGACGGGGTCCTGACGCTGCGCAACGTCACGCTCCCGCTCGGCGCCGCGGACGTGTCCGTCGTCGCCTCCGTGCTCCGGTCCGCGCTCGCGCAGCTCGGGACCCCGGGCGTCGCGGGCGTCGCCGCGGACGGCGCCGCGGTG